CTCCATTGCTTTATGCATTGCTGTCAATCTAACACAGGAACCATATCAACAGGAGGAAAGAGCTGCATGATGATTATCTATTCAGCCGGATAGAGTAACATGCCCAAGATCAAGCTGTACTACCTAACTGCATGGAGGTCAGCTATCTGACTATGATCTCTGGAAGGGAAGACATCCTAAACAGAACTACAAATCTCATTTCAACTGAACATTTATCTACCTAGCGTCCATGTTATCACTGAGGACAAAGTGTGATACTACAAATTAGATCCTATACCCATGAAACAAAGCATGCATTGTAACAGAAAAGGTGGGCCACCACCAGTGACAAGCTCAAAGTGACCTTGTCATGACAAAGGTAGGGGTTGCTCATATAAAATGTTTGTTGGCCGGCTGGTGTCAATGCTTCTGTCAAAGACCCGGAACCAACATGATGGAAATAAGTGTTAGAATTCCTCATCTCTATACTTGTTCAAACTCAGTGATCTGACAAGCCCTTGGGTTAATGGCAGTATGATGGCCAGGCAGCTAGCATCATTGGAAGCAATGGTCTTTTTTGCTTTGATGAAGAGGGTTCGGCCCTGGAAATGTGTTAGTTGGCAAGTCTTGGTGACACCAGGGTGTATTGACACTTTCCTTGACAAGGCTTACCCTGCCACTTGAGTTTAGTCTCATTTTATATCAGCCTTGGGTTTTTGCCTTTGCACCCTTTTGTCTTCTGTTTATCGGCCAATAGGATTTCCCTGTCTGAAAAGAGTGGCATTGGCGCGGGTTACCAGAAGGTGCCATGAAGTGATGTTCTGAATGGTCCACACTACAACTCTGTTGAGCCTCATGGCCTCTTTAGCACTATGGTGTCATGTGGAGATCTATCCAATGGTCAGCAATGACTGCTTCTTTGAATCTCTAATGAAAGGGTTCCTTAAAAGGAGTATGCTAATAGAAGGAGATAGAGTGAAAGAGAGATGAACTCATCTGTCTGCTGCTTCTCCTTTCACTGTTCAGTCAGAGGCTTGGGGAGGGATAAGACCTACAAGTGTTACTTAAAGTGGTTTGTAAAGCCAGAGGGTTTTCACCTTATTGCATTCTATCCATGAAGGTAAAAAACCTTCAGTGTGCAGCTTCCCCCTCGGGCCCCTTATACTCATCTAAGCCCCCTTCCGATTAAGCGATGTGCATGAAAGCAGAGGCTCTCCCTGGTCTCTGCCTCCTCATTGGCTGAGGCACAGCAGTTGGAGCCATAGGTCAGTGAGGAGGGAGCGGGGCCGAGCCATACGCTGAGTCTCAGACACACAGAGGCAGTTTGAGAGCAAGCCCACGAGTGCCCCCAGGGTAAGCAGAGGGGAGGGGCCTGGAGCGCCAGCAGGGGACTCCAGAAGAGAAGGTTTAGGGCTGCTCTGTGCAAAACCATTGCACAGAGCAGGTAAGTAAGACATGTTTGCTTTTTGAAAAAAGATCAGAACCTTTACAATCACTTTAACTGCAGCAGAAAATATTCAGGTCCCCTGCCCTGCCAAACAGGACTGTGCTGCAGAGCTGTAGATATCTTAGAACAGGAATGAACAGAAATACCTTTGTAGTTACATCAACTCTTATATATGTATTTTATCTCTGTATGTAATGGTTTGCCTGAGTTCAGCTTTAATGCTCACTGCTCCTGTGATATCATTCTGTAACCTAACCAACAAAGCCACCTCTTTACTTGGCAAAGCATGCTGGGTCTTGTAGTTACTCAACAACTGACATTGCTCGGTTCTGTTCAAGGAATGTAAAGGTGTCAGCTCCCGGCTCGTGAGCCATAGATCTAAGGGAGAAATTCAATTACATTTGTGTGGACTTGGTAAGAGGAACTTTTGGAGCTGTCAGCTGTAGAAGGAGGAGGAGGAGGGGTGGGCAGCAGAATGTGGTCGCCAGGCGAGCGGCGATCTCTTATCTGTACATGGAAGAGCTGAAACGCGCAGAACGGGTACAGATACCACGCCACTTAATTAAAAGCCCATCCTTTTATCTGGCAGCTGTAGAATATTACAGATCATCTTCCCAGCGGCTCCCTTGTCGCTCCTGCTATCTATAGCTTTTTCTGGAGGAGCTACATATATATTTATTTCTATATATTGGGGGATTTTTTCGTTTAATCTCCTTTGCGGTGCCAGCTTTCTTCCCCACCTCCGGGCCCCCGGCAGTTGGCAGGGTTACGACCCTTCCGTTCTGGTTAGACAAATAATGGGCAATTAGGCTCTCGCTGCAAGACACTTCACAGGTTCCCCTGTCCTAGTTTCTCGCCCACATTTCCTTCGAGTAATGAGACACCCCGCATTTCTCTGCCTCGACTTATCCCTTTTCCCTGGCTAAAAAATCCCCTTTATTTGGTCCACCTCAGAGAACTGAAGTTATAAATGGAAGGAAGCCATCGTTTAAACACTGCCTATTAGTACATTGTATCCTGAACTGAATCCCCGAGGAATGGACTTTGATGCCAGATGTGCCAAATTAAGAAGCTGAGCTACAACCATAGAAGGCAGTTCGAGCTGACAAAGTACAATCTGCTGCACAAGTGCGGGTGAGATGGAACAAAAGAAGGGAGGAAAAAATGCGGCAGCGGACTTCAGAGCGAGATTCGCAGATCATTTAAAAATCTACACGGCCATATTGTATGAGATGAAAGCTGGCGTGTGTAGACAAGCTGGAACATCTGCCCCAACGGCTTGAAAGACCATCAGGATGGTTTAGTGGAATGTGTAGTTTTCGGGAAGACGTGCGTTTGCTCTCATAGGATCACGTATGAGCTTTCAGCCTGGAATTTGGTTTAACCATTCGGCAATACCTTTGAGCCACACCCCACTAATTTTTGTAAAACTCCAACAAGCTTTATTGAGGCCCGATTAGGTCAGACCGACAATCTCCAACCTATCAAATGCACTTCACCCAATGGGCTTAAGCATCATTTTTCTATGGTAAGTTCATTCAGTGAAACGCGTCAATGGGTGGCATCAGATTTGACTTGGAAGGGAATGTCCACCTGACCTAATCTGGCATCAATAAAGCATGCCACAGTTCTGCTACAAAATACAGGAGAGTATGGTTTATGGGCATGTTAGTCTGGAGGGGAAAAGGTGGATCCCGGAGAGACTGAACACCTGATGAAGAACACTGTAAGTGCTTGCCAGTGTGTCTTCAAGACATTCTCTCACCCATCAGGTGCGACTCCACCGACTAACAGGTTTCTCCCTATGGGCGAAATTATAATCTTCCAGTGTTAAGCCAATTGGGCGAATCTCGAGTGGTGCCACATCTGATTGGGAGAGAATGTCTGACTAAACGAATCCGGCATCAAAGCCTGTTGGGGTTCCACAACAAAATGAAGTGGAGTGCAGTTTGTTAGCCTGGAGGGGAGAAGGCAGACCCCAGACAGATTGTGCAGCCACAGTCAGTCCCTGCATGTGCTTGCCTGGAACGGTGTCATCCAGACACTCTTCCCCGTAGATGCAACTCCACCACCAACTGACATGCTTTTCCCAATGGGCAAAACGGCAGTTCCCTTGTGTTAAGCCCACTGGTTGAAACCAGTCAAGGTGGCATCACATTTGACGGAGGAAAGAAGTATGTCTGGCCTATTCAGGAATCAAAATTCAGCATTTCTGCAACGAAATACAGTGGAGTGTGCTTTATGCTTTTGCTAGCCTGAAGGGGAGAAGGTGAATCGTGAAGAGGCTGTACACAACTGAGGCCGGTCCCTGAAGTGCTTACCTAAAGCAGTGTCATCCAGACACTCTTCCCCGCAGATGCAACTCCACCAACTGACATGCTTCTCCCAATGGGCATAACGACAGTTGCCTTGTGTTAAGCCCACTGGTTGAAACGAGTCAAGATGGCATCACATTTGACGGAGGAAAGAAGTATGTCTGGCCTATTCAGGAATCAATATTCAGGCATTTCTGCAACAAAATACAGTGGAGTGTGGTTTATGCTTTTGCTAGCCTGGAGGGGAGAAGATGAATCGCGAAGAGGCTGTGCACACCTGAAGCCGGTCCCTGACGTGCTTACCTAAAGCAGTGTCATCCAGATTTCTTTCCTGTCAATATTACTCTGAATGACGCATTTCACCCAATGGACATAATGATGATCCTATGTTGAAGCAGAACTCTGTGCAAAATATTCTTTACATGCCCTTGTTGCTGATTTCCTACCTTCCCTGAATATACCATCCATCTCCTGGTACACTCAGTAGTTGCTGTGAAATAGCCAATTTATTTTCAATTCAAACTGTTCATTCTCTTTGATTTCCTGTTTGTAAGACTAGTGGCTGCTATGCCTCTTACTCTCACAGCCACTGGTCTTGGCACATCCCTTCTGTAGTTATTTCTCTGGGAAGTAGTGATGCGATGCAACCCCATTTGAAGTGGTGGATGGACCAAGAATCTCAGACACATTCAACATGTACAGGCGTAGTGTACCCGCCCACATTCACTACAATTCCCTGTGGTTGATGGGAACTGTAGTTTCCTTTTACTGCAGAGAGAGAAGAGGATGTAATGCCTGTTGTTAGACCTCCTCCTTGGAAGAGCAGATGCTGCTATCCTTTGAATTACAAAGATGAGGTCATGGAAATTCATTTAGACTTTTCTCCAAAATGGTAAGGATTTTCAAAGTTGCATTAACGGTTTAGTGTTTTGTGTAGGTGGGTGTACTAATAGGTGATTTTTTTTTTTTGCCTATACCAGAGTTCTTATTTAAGCCCATTGAGTGAAATGCATCAGAGGGTTGCATAAATCTGGTGGGGGAAGGAAACGTCCATATTACCTAATCTGCATCAATTAAGTTTGCTGCTGTTCTGCACCAAATACAGCGGAGTGAAGTTCATGTGTTTGTTAGCATGAAGGGGAAAAGGTGGATCCCAGAGAGACTAAGCACACGTCCGCTTTATGTGCTTTCCTGGAGTGGTGTCATTTATACAGGCTTGCATTTTGGTTGCACATAGAAGTTTTCATGTCAGGATTTACCTTCCTTGCATTCCAGGGCCACCCGCGACTCCAGATTGTCCATCTGCAGCTGCAAACGCTTCAGGGTGCGGTCCGCATCCCTCGACTTGCGCTTGTAGGCAATGAGCACAATGATGATGATCAGCAAGAGTAGTCCTCCACCTCCACCAATGCCAATAATTGCGGGAAGGGTCAGGAGGCTGTCGGAATAGATCTGCAGAGTACCAGGTGAGAATTCGAACCCTCCGGCTTTGATCTGAAAGAGTTATTAAAACAACAACAAAAAAGTCAAACATAAAGATAAGCCTGATATCCTGCAAGTAACTGTTTAAACATTTAAAGGTCAGTCCAATCAAAGAAGATAGAATAGTTTGAGTAGATGTTGGAACTTTGAATCAGCACCTGAGTTCACAGCTCTGGCCACCTGCTACAATAATACAGTTCTTGCTTTTGGATCTGTCATGTTTTTGTACAGAAGTTTCAGGTACTGGGTGAAGGTATCAGATCTGATGATGAGATCCTGACACTGCACCTCCCAATTAATGTGTCAGTTTTGGGTGGACATACCCTTTACAACTAGCAGTGCAGTCAATGTATCTAATAAACAAACACGAAAAAAGCATCTCAAAGTGGAGTATCATAAGAGCATTTATTTATAAAAGCCTAAACACTAGCCACTCACATGGTGCAGAAAGGAAACAGGCTCATCAGTGTACTGCAAGATCCCTGTAATACACTGATGAGCCTGTTTCCTTTCTGCACCATGTGAGTGGCTAGTGTTTAGACTTTTATAAATGATTATTATACAGGATTTATATGGCACCAACAGTTTGCTCAGCTCTTTACAATATAACGGGAGACAATACAGCAACAATACAGTTCAATACAAGAGGGATAGGAGGGCCTGATGCTTGGAGCTTACAATCTAGGAGGGAGGGGATAGTGGTGCAAAAGGTAGTAACTGTGGGGGATGGACTGGTTGGAAGAGTAGAAGATTCCATTATTAGCTGAGGGCAGGATAGGCTTCCCTGAAGAGATAGGTTTTTAGAGATCGCCTAAAAGTGAGCGGAGTAGGCGATAGTCTGATACATTGGGGTAGAGAGTTCCAGAGGATGGGGGAAGCTCTGGAGAAGTCCTGGAGACTAGCATGGGAGGAGGAGACAAGAGAGCTAGAGAGCAGGAGGTCGTGCGAGGAGCGGAGAGTACAGTTTGGATGATATTTGGAGACAAGATTGGTGAAATTTGGGGCAGAGTTATAAATGGCTTTATATGTTATTGTTAATGTTTTGAATTTTATCCGTTGGGCAATGGGAAGCCAGTGGAGGGATTGGCAGAGAGGGGTGGAGGACACTGAATGGAGGCCAGTGGAGGGATTGGCAGAGAGGGGTGGAGGACACTGAATGGAGGCCAGTGGAGGGTTTGGCAGAGAGGGATGGAGGACACTGAATGGAGACCAGTAGAGGGATTGGCAGAGAGGGATGGAGGACACTGAATGGAGCCCAGTGGAGGGATTGGCAGAGAGGGGTGGAGGACACTGAGTGGAGGCCAGTGGAGGGACTGGCAGAGAGGGATGGAGGACACTGAGTGGAGGCCAGTGGAGGGATTAGCAGAGAGGGGTGGCAGATACAGAACGGTTAGTAAGGTGGATGAGTCTGGCAGCAGCATTCATGATAGACTGAAGAGGGGATAGCCTGCGATGAGGTCGGCCAATGAGGAGGGAGTTACAGTAGTCAAGGCGAGATATAACCAGGGAGTGGATAAGTTGCTTAGTGGTTTCCGAGGTTAGGAACGGACATATCTTGGAGATGTTGAGGAGGTGAAGTCTACAGGATTTGGACAGCGATTGGATTTGGGACTGAAAGGACAGATGGGAGTCTACAAATGAATGCGCTTATGATACTACACTTTTCCGTGTTTGTTTTGCACACTTCTGTACAGAGTCTTCTTCCACTCTCAGAATCTGTTGCCATAAGTGGATTATCCTCCCCTTCCCCCCAACTTCTACTTGGACTTATTATGGGACTCTTAGGCCATTTAGTTACATTACAGCTAGCGACTGTTTCCTATCATTAGGCGCATACTACTTTGTGTTTTTACTATGTATCTAATAACAATGCAGAGAAAAATCACATATTCTGTAAAATTGTTCAGCTTTCACCTTATGTCATCAAAAAGACAACTTTTTTTCGCATAAAGTGAACTCCGTGTCTGGTAAAGGTCCTATAGCACCGAAGGTGAAAAAAAAAATTGACCACCATAAGCTGTGAACGAATTCAGCAGCACCACAGGTTGCATGTTCTGCCCTTTCTGCACCCTGCTCTTGCTGAAACACCCAAGGTGGCCATCTCTTCTGCCTACCCGTGGGCCTGGCCAAAATGGCTGTGATCCTTGTTTTTGGGATAACATGAAGGAAACACAATGAAAGCTGGCAAGGTCACGATATTATGAGGTTTCTAGGTGTACATTGAGCAACTTCCCAGCCAGTAGATGAGCTATTGGTGCTCTTATTAATGTAACTGCTACTAGCAAGCCTTCTTTAACATAAAGCCCAACTCTGGGCAAAAAAAAACCCAAAAAAACCTTTCCCAGTCAGCAGGGCTGTGCCTGCACTGCTGGGTCAACTGCTTGTTTTGTCTAGGGGTGAGAAGAACGTTTATGCTCCTTTGTTTCACTGGAAAACGGCACTCCCCCACAGTCCACTGCTGGACCACACCGTGCTGGGGAGGATCAGAGGATTTGGTGAATAAATCTCTGGAGTTGGGCTTTAAATGACAGGCAGCTTGGTCAATAGCTTCAAATACCTGTTTTTATGCCAAGGTGAACATCTACTTGGCCATCATGCTGCTGCATAGAGGACAGCATACGTACCGTGACTTTGTGCTGTCCTGTAAGGTTTGGCGATTCGCACAGAAGTTGCGTCTCAGACACGGTTAGCGCGCATGGGGTGTCACCAATCAAGACGGTATAGTTGAGACGGAAGTTCCCGGGTACAGCTGGTAATATATTACGACCCTGAGAAGAAGAGAACAGATGCAAGTCTTGGTTTTATTTGCTCTAATTGAAGGGAAAAGGTAGGTAGGCAAGTTTGCAGAATGGTAGATCCCTGGTAGTTTCACCATGACCCTCACTCACTTTGATGATAAGAGGAGAGCTGGGCTTTAGTTCCAGGTTTCCAGATGGGCTGAGGGGTTCAAACACAGGGTCGGAATAGTACGTGAAGCTGGTCATATTCACGATGAGCAGCGCCTGAACGTTGTCCATAATGAAGCCAATCTCATCTGGTTTGTCTCCGAGTTCTGGTGGAGTTTTTAGGGGGTTTTCAATGGAAGGGGCCAGACAAACCATGGTGGTGTCATTATAAACCGTACAGTTCTAGAAGGGGAAAACACAAGACAATTATTGTATTAACGTCCCGGATCACCTCTGTCACACCCCCCAACACATTTCTAGCAGGCTCCGGATAGCACTCACATTTTCACGCTCCACCTCGCCATACTTTGCTCGGATCTTCGGTTCCCTAATAGTTGCCAGGTTCAGTCCGGACACAGTCAGCGGAGTTCCACCACTGCAAAAAGATTAAAAAAATGAAAGCAGAATTAAAGCTGAATTCCAGGAAGATATGATGATCAGTGCATCATTAAAGCGGTTCTTCAGCCTTTTGGATTAAAAAAAAAAAAAAATTAAAAAGGTACAGTATTGTTACTTTTCATAAAATGATACTCACCTGTCCAAAGGTCGAGTGATGTCCTCACCCAATCTGGTTCTTCAATGGTCTTCAGGTCCCCGGCGCTGGCATGTTTACTAAGATTCTGAGTGGCTTCACAGCCGGCCGCCCACTGCGCATGCATGAACCACACTACACAGCCTTCTGGGAACTGTGACCTGTCCCAGAGGGTTGCAGGTGGGAAAAGGACATGCGGTGGATCGCCACGACGATCTGACCGGAAGTAGGAGCAGGTACCTGTCAAAACCAGGTACCTCTTCCCCCCCACCCAAATAAGTGCCAAAAATAGGATGGGGGGGGGTATAAAGAGGAACCTCCCCTTTAGGGTGAAGTTCCGCTTTAAAGGTTCCTTCACTCCAACAATGCACACTAAACATGTTGCTGCAATGTGGTGTAATTCATTCTGAATGACACTCAACATACCTTGCCAACGGACATGCAGTGCACTGCTAAAATTGGTCTTGCAAATTTGTTTTAGCAACGCACGTTAGCCCCGCAGCAAGGTGAGCTGGGGTGCCAACATGCATGACAGTGCATTGCACTAACGCATTTAACATGTGTTGCTGCACGTTGCACAAAAGCTCGGTAACACGTGCCGTGCTACAATGCCATAATGTGAGCAGGCCCTAAATGTATTTTTTCATATGTGATTTGGTATCAGGCTCTTGTAATCTTCTGTACAGCCAAGTTCAGACTGAAGAGAAAGAAGCAGCACAATGAGCCAATTAGGTGTGCTGCAGTACCAACAAGAAACAGGCTGATAGGAGGAGAGAGCAGTGACAGAAAGATGAGCTCATTGATCTGTTACTTCTCTTTTCACTGCGCAGTCACAGACTGGGGGAGGGAAGGACAAACAGAGAAAAATGAGGGCTCTTCTTCTGCCAATTAGGCCTGTAACGTGTGGCAGAGCTGTGTAAATCTCAGTGATGGATGGACATAGATAAAAAATCTTTTGGCAGGTAAAATAGCCTGCAGATATAGATCGTTTGCTCGGAGTTTAGCATTAACGTTTCATCATCAGTACAGATCGGAGACCTCTGTAGCCATTGCAATAAGTTGTGTGTATTACCTGGTGATGCTCCACTCAGGTTCGATTTTCTGCACTGTGGGGTCCTCCGTGTAATTGTACTTCACCTCTGGGTTGCGTAGCACCGCACGATTGATGTGGATCTGAATTTCTGCACTGGATGGAATCTGTCCCTGCGGGGTTTTGCAGCGAATTTCTTTGGCTGTTCTCCTAGAAGAGATACAAAAACAGAAATGAACATAAAAAAAAACACCCAAAAAACGAATGGCTTTATTTAACACTTTTTGGCTCAGTGACTTTCTCCATCCCAGATAAACAAAGCATGTAGGATCAGAATGGCTCCTGCTGCCATCAAAGTGGACAAAGGAATATAAAATTATATATTTTTTTTTTCATTCTTTAACATATTCTGTCACTGCCTTCAATGAGAGCAAAGTGACAGGTTCCCTTTCCAAACCATCCCTTTACTCACTAATCCCTTCCCCACCCTCAGCAGTACAAACCAATGTTTTAAAGCTTAATTGTATGCATGTAAGACTTTACCTTGTCTCCCTCTCCTTGATCAACATGCAATTACATGTTTTCAATCAAAACATTTTGTTGACGTCATCACTGGGACTTATTGCTATCTTTGGCCCTTGTATGGTGGGAGCGGAGGACAAGCTTCTATAAATGACACAGCACCCTGCATTGGATCTTCTTTTAAGTGAATTATATGAAAGAACAAATTCCAGGGGTCCCTTTAAATGTGCATGCTCCTTACTCCTGGCCATCGGAGGATGCAGACATTAGCTGTGCAATGTGCTGATCAGTTGCTTAAATTGGTTGCAAACTTCAGACATGAAATATGAATAAAGCAGTTTTCTTTACACTGTGTACTTGTCTCAGTTAAGAGCACTAAGCAGGGGCGGACTGACAACTCATGGGGCCCCCGGGCAATAGGGGATCATGGAGCCCCTGTGTCCTTGCCCAAGCTCAAAAAAGCCTATTAAAAAGGTACCAGGGGAATTTCATGGGGCCCCTTACTGACCCCAGGCCCTCGGGCAGTGCCCCGAGTTTCCAAATGGTCAGTCCGCCCCTGGCACTAAGTGTCTTCCTCTGCAGCTTGAATCACTTCTGGCAAGTTTACCTGACACCAAGATAAAAATGTTCAAGAGGGAGGGACCTCCAGCAGAATGACAGCCTTAGCTCTGTTCCTGTTAGATGTGTAGAGGGGTGTGTGTCCGTTCCCTCCAATCACCTCTCAGACCTCTTCTCACTGAGCTCCGCAGTGTGTAAGTTTAGCTCTCCACCCCCGTTTTCTGAACTCTTAGACAAGCTATATACATTCAGAATTTTTAAAGGATGTAGAGAAATCTACAGAAAGACAGGTGCAATTTATGTAGCAGGATTTCTTTCATCTCTGTGCATCACCTGAGTCAAACCACTTCACTGGGTATATATACAGGTTTACAACTACTTTAAGCATGCACATCTAAAAGGGATGACAGGGATGTGTTCTTTTTATATATTGCTCAGGAACAAATAATGGATGACAGAGAAAGCAAATAGCTTTGAGGTGGGCAACAACTGTACAGATCAAGAGGAACAGGGACTGATGATGATTGAAGCTGTTAAGATAGGTGGGCTGAAGATGGCTGCTGTAGGTACAAAGGGCTATATTGTGCAAATGCACGTTTGCAGTGATTGTTTTTTTAACACAGGAGAGGTCTTGCTACAAATGTGGGAAAAAAGGTAAGTCTGGAGTTCAGGTAACAAAAAAAAAAAAAAAATCAACAATATACTCACTCTCTTCGGAAAAAAAATTGTTAGACAGATAACTGACCCCAATAATGTCCAAGGTGCTCCAGGCACATAATACCACGCCCCAAAGTACTGTATTGCAAAAGGGCCGGCATGATTTACACAAAGAAAATTCTGTGTAAAGCACATAGGATTATGGGTAAATCTGAGCTCAGCACAAAAAAAAAAAAGTTTTAAAAACTAATGAAACTACTCTTCAAAAATCACCAAATTGTACTTCCTTCAATGGCTTCAAGAGTCGACTGTAGAGATTATAGGAACAGGTGTGTCTTATTTCCTGAGCGTAAGCTCCTGGGACAACAGAAATGCAATACAGCTTTGATGCATAAGTGCTCCGTCTTGACTTTTGAGTTCAATTGTACTCCGTGTTTAGTTGTATCATCAAACTCAACATCCATTTAATATCTCTTAACTTAATTAGCACTTATTGGAAAAAATCTATGAAAATACTCTTTAAAAAAATCACCACCAAATTGTATTTTAATCACCTCCCATCCGGCTGTTGTATATAAACGGCCGGACAGTGGCAGTGCAGGGTCGGGTGGCCCTTTATAAACGGCCTCCCCGCACCCTGCTTGTGCGCGCTCCCAGCACCGCGACTGATGCCCGCTGTGTCCTCCGGACACAGTGGAACACCGATCGTCGGACGGGACCTCTGTGCGAGGTCCCGATCATGTGATCCTGATTGGCCAATCAGTGATCACATGCAGAGTAGTAAGCAAGAGGTCACTTCTGACATCATTGGGGGTATGAAATCTGTGAGTGATCACAGAGGTCGCATGGTACAAAGCTATTCACAACAGCCTTGTACCATGTGACAAGCTGTGACCAATCACAGCTCACACAGTATTTCTCAATGGCTGTAAGAATGCAGCCAGAGAGAAGGAGAAGATTGCTTTTACAGGGGGTAAAAGCAATCAGTGTTAAAAAAAAAAAAAAAATCTTCGGATCACAGCCCACAAGTAGTACAGTGTCACCATGGTGACACGTACTGCTAGGGGACCGGGGTAAAAAAAAAAAAAAATGTAAAAAAATGTTTAAAAAATGATAATTTTTGGTTATAAACTAATTGGGTTATTTTTTACCTAAAAATATAACAAAATGGATTTTGGCTAAGATTTATGATGAAATACTATTTATTTGCAAAATTTTAATAAGAAAAACACTTTTTTTCAAAATTTGTGGACTTTTTAATTTACATAGTAAAAAAAAAGGGGTGGGGGAATAAAGTGGTCTCAAAAAAATGCTAAAAAATTCATATGGGTATCGTGTTGCATGAGCGCGCAATTGTCATTCAAAGTGTGGATAGCGCTGAAAGCTGAAAATTGTTCTGGACTGGAAGGGGGTGAAAGTGTCCGGGGGAGGGGTGAAAGTGTCCGGACCGGAGGGGGTGAAAGTGTCCGGACCGGGGGGGGGGAAAGTGTCCGGACCGAAGGGGGGGGTAAAAGTGTCCGGACCGGAAGGGGGTAAAAGTGTCCGGACCGGAAGGGGGGGGTGAAAGTGTCCGGACCGGAAGGGGGTGAAAGTGTCCGGACCGGAAGGGGGTGAAAGTGTCCGGACTGGAAGGGGTAAAAGTGTCCGGACTTGAAGTGGTTAATGGAGTTGAGTAATGAGCTGAAATTTTCCATTATGCGAGTTGCTCCATACTGGGTGAAAGCCTAAAATCAGGCTTGTGGTGGAATGTTCTGCTGTGCAAACCAATGAGCAGGGTGAGGAGGTAGAGAGCTCAGGCTGGGAGTCCACTAGTAGCTCAGTGAGAAGTCAGGGGGCAGTGGCACAGCCTCGGCAGAAGAGCTGCCAACCTCTCCATTCTTCCACATAGTTGATCATAACAGGCATGATTCTTCTAGGTGTTTCAGCTCTTTGGTGGACATTTAAAAAGCCCTTCAGAAAAGTTTAAATTCCTAAAAAAAAAAAAAATACTAAAAAAACAAAAAACAAAGCAGCAGCCCCTTTAAATATCCTTCGATTCACAAGGCAGACCACATGGGTCCCGGAAACGCATTCTGCGCCGTGTCAGACGCCGCTTTCTGCCAGGCGGCTGGGAAACATTTGGAAAAATATCACATGTTCACCCTGCAAACAGCAGCTATTAGCGCTGATAACCACCAATTACCACAGGAAAATATTTAAAGACCTGCTCTATTATCATTCGTAATCTAGAAATTATGCACTTGAAATCCTATGGAAGGCAGAGGAAGACGGGAGAGCGGGAGAAGCAGCCTGTGGGCACAAGGCAAGCACTTAAACCCACGGCTGCCAGACAAAAGAAGTCTGACGGCAGAACGTCTTACTGATGGGGCTCGGCGGCTTTCACTTCCTTCAATGGCTTCAAGAATCGACTGTAGAGATTATAGGAACAGGTGTGTCTTATTTCCTGAGCGCAAGCTCCTGGGACAACAACAGAAACGCAATACAGCTTTGATGCATAATTGCTCCGTCTTGACTTTTGAGTTGGATTGTACTCCGTGTTTAGTTGTATCATCAAACTCAACATCCATTTAATATCTCTTATCACTTATTTAGCTTCAAAGCACCAACTTATACCACAGTGCTGTACCCAGATCACTGAGCCAGTCACATTAGTCCCTGCACCCGAGGAGCTTACGCTCTAATGACTCACCATAGTCACACACTATTGTCATTATACATTTATATATAGCTCTGACATATTCCGCAGCGCAGTACAGAGAATGCTGAGCTATTCACCTCGGTCTCTGTAGCAGAGGAGCTTACATTCTAACACCTCAACCCCAGTCACACTATTGCTTTGACATAACCTGCAGTGCCATGCCGTGAATATGGAGACAGTAACAGTCTATTCACCTGAGGAGCTTACACTCTAATGTCCCATCACAGTCACACACTAATGTACATTTATATCGCTCTGACATATTCCAGTGTGTTGTACGTAGAATTCTGAGCCAGTCTCATCCCTCTCTGCATCAGCAGAGTGTACACTCTAATATAGTGGTCTCCAAACTGCGGCCCGGGGGCCAGATGTGGCCCTTTGCTTGCCTTTAACCGAAAATGGGGCACTATTCCCCTTGAGGCACTATTCCTCCCACTAATACCAATGATGGGGCACTATTCCTCCCACTGATACCAATGATGGGGCACTATTCCTCCCACTGATACCAATGATGGGGTACTATTTCTCCCACTGATACCAACTATGGGGCACTATTCCTCCCACTGACACCAATGATGGGGCACTATTCCTTCCACTAATACCAATGATGGGGCACTATTCCTTCCACTAATACCAATGATGGGACACTATTCCTCCCACTGACACCAATGATGGGGCACTATTCCTCCCACTTCACTTCCCACTTACACCAATGATGGGGCACCATTCCTCCCACTGACACCAATGATGGGGCACCATTCCTCCCACTGACACCAATGATGGGGCACCATTCCTCCCACTGACACCAATGATGGGGCACTATTCCTCCACTGACACCAATGATGGGGCACTATTCCTCCCACTGATACCAATGATGGGGCACTATTCCTCCCACTGATACCAATGATGGGGCGCTATTCCTCCCACTGATACCAATGATGGGGCACCATTCCTCCCACTGACACCAATGATGGGGCACTATTCGTCCCACTGATATCAATGATGAGGCACTATTCGTCCCACTGACACCAATGATGGAGCACTATTTGTCCCACTGACACCAAAGATGGGGCACTAGTCCTCTCAATGCCCCTATTCTTCCCACTGACACCATCGATGGCATCTTCTACTTCCACTGACACCAGGACATTTTCTACTCCCAAAGGTCACAGTCCAGCCCCCCTAAAGTCTGAAGGACAGTAAACTGGCCCTTTGTTTAGAAAGTTTGGAGACCCCTGCTCTAATACAATCAGCCTATTATTAGACATGTATATAGCTCTGACATATTTTGCAGTGCTACACAGAAAATACTGAGACAGTAACATCAGCCTTTGCTTACACTCTAATGCCTCTTCACAGTTACACAATTAATATACATTTATATAGCTCTGACGTATACTGCAGTGCTGTACAAGAAATGCTGAGCCATTAACATCCTATCTGCACCACAGGAGCTTACACTCTAATGCCCCCACCACAGTCACACAGCTCTGACATATACACAGTGCTGTACGTTATTATAATTATAAGACATTTGTATAGCTCTGACATACCGCAGTGCTGTACAGAGAACACTGAGCCAGTCACATCAGTCACTGTACCAGAGGAGCTTACACTCTAATGTCCTCCCCTCAGTCACACACTATTATTATGATTACTATACATTTATAAAGCACTGACATATATCGCAGTGCTGTACAGAGAACATTGAGCCAGTCACTGTACCAGAGGAGCTTACACTCTAATGTCACCTCCGCAGTCACACACAATTATTATACATTTATAAAGCTCTGACATATACCGCAGTGCTGTACAGAGAACACTGAGCCAGTCACATCAGTCACTGTAGCAGAGGAGCTTACACTCTAATGTCATCTCCACAGTCACACACTATTATTATGCTTACTATACATTTATAAAGCACTGACATATACCGCAGTGCTGTACAGAGAACACTGAACCAGTCACATCAGTCTCTTCACCACAGGAGCTTCCACTCTAATGTCCCATCACAGTCACATACTATTATTATTATTATACATTTACATGGCTCTGACATATACTGTAGTGCTGAACAGAGAACACTGAGCCAGTCACACAAGTCTCTGCACCACAGGAGCTTGCACTCTAATGTCCCATCACAGTCACATACTATTATTATTATACATTTATATAGCTCTGACGCTCCCACCACACTCCCACCCCACAAAATGTCTACATCGCAGTCACACACCATTATAATACATTTATATACCTTTGATATTTGATATATTCTCCAGTGCTGTATAGAACACCATTCACTTTAGCCTTGGTATCCCCACAACAGTCACACACACTACAACTAATGTGAGCAGAATCCCCCTGGACAATTAACCTTGGATTATGGAAGGAAACCGCAACACTTCAAAAATACCTAGAAAGCAATGGAAATAGCATGCGACCTCTATGCAAATAGTTGCTAGTAAGTGAACCTAGGAATCCAAAGCCAGAAAACTAATAACCACTGAGCCACCAAATATAGCGCCATATAAGCAAGCCACTTCATCTGGTATGGTGGCCAAAACACTAGGCTCAGAGAGAGAGAGAGAGAGAGGAAGAGAGGGCAGTAGGTTGCCTTGATCCATTCTATTGTGTTTTGAGATGGAAAGCTAGTTGTCGTTGCTAGAAAACTGCTGACAGAATGGCCAACATTGGATCTAAAAGCCCCTCCATGCACCACCAACCAGCACAATTAAGAACATAAGTTGATTCCTAGATTGTAAGCTCGAAAGAGCAGGGCCCTCGATCCCCTCATGTTTTGCATTGTATTGGTATTGTTCTGTCACATGTTCTGTCCCCCTTTGTAATGTACAGCACTGAGCGAACCATTGGCGCTTTATAAAATACTGTACAATAATAATAATCATTCCCTCATGGCCTTACCATGAAAAGGTGCAGGGTCGTCCTCCAACCTCCACAGACACATCGCTTCCAGCGTTCAGGTTGATTCCTTCTATAGTAATCCAGGTACCTCCAGACAGCGGGCCGCGGGCAGGGGTCACACGATAAAAATGAGGACTCTGCCAAAAGAATTTTCAATACATGAGTAACAGCTACTCAGTAAAAAGTGGACATTTACAGCATCTGAATACGTGATTGGTAACTTACCACAAAGGTGAAAGATTTTGGCGCAGTGGTCATGTAATCCTTGGAGCAATCTCTGACGCAGACTTCCACGGTGGCTTCACGAGACTGCGTCATCCTCGCCTCCCCAATCTCACACACAATCCTAAGAAGTGAAACACATCACCTGAAGGAGACTCCAGCTATTTGTTTTCTAAGTGTACAAGTTAATACTGCATCCAGGTTGAAATAAATCAAGAGCCTCCAAAGTCGTCTTCTTACTGCATATAAAACTCATCAGTTTACAGCTCTGCATCATCTTGTTTCCAATGCCAATGGCACCCATTGAGCCGTCACTAGACTGATAGGCGTGCAGAATACTAAGCATCCATTGATGGCACAGAATAGAGATTCGATAAATGTGAAAATGTAATCGTTCAGAGAAGCCAGTGCTGACAGTGTCTTTGGCTCCCAGATCCTGCTCTGGGACCATGCTGGTTTTGGCAGCCTGATAGTCATTACAGCATAGCAAAGGTATACAAACATAGCAAACGTCGAGTAGTGCACTTACAGGCTTACCATAATATGTGGAAAGGAATAAAAGATCATTAATGTTTGTTGGTCCCCGCATCGGTGTCACATTGGGGTTTATTTACTAAAGCTGGAGAGTCCAAAATCAGACTCCCTTCTGCATAGAAACCAATCAGCTTCTAACCTCAGCTTGTTCAACGAAGCTTTGGCAATGAAACCTGGAAGCTGATTGGTTTCTATGCAGAAGGAAGTCTGATTTTGGACTCTCCAGCTTTAGTAAATAAACCCCAATGTGTCTCGTACTGCAGTTGAGTTATGGTAGACACGTGCATCTTAGAGGGCTGAAGGTATGTTGCGTGTTCTACCTCCTAGATTCGTGTGGGTAAATGGGATGGGTGTAGATTGGACTGCATGGTCATTTCATTTAAATGGCATCGACAGCAGTCAGAGAAAGGGAGGGGTTCTTGAACAGCAGTATGTAACCACTTGCCCTCCTGAGGATTTACCCCCCTTAATGACCACGCCTCTTTTTGCTACTTGGCGCTACACTAATTCAACTGATAATTGCGCGGTCATGCAATGCTGCACCCAAACGAAATTTACGTCCTTTTTTTCACACAAATAGAGCTTTCGGTGGTATTTGATCACCTGTGCGCTTTTTATTTTTCACGCTATAAACAAAAAAAGGCCAAAAATTTGGAAGAAAAACAATATTTTTTACTTTCAGCTATAAAAAATATATAGTAAACTCAAAGTTGGTTATAAATTTAGGCCAAAATGTATTCTGCTCCATGTTTTTGGTAAAAAAAATCCCAATAAGTGTATATTGATTGCTTTGTGTGGAAGTTATAGCGTCTACAAACTATGGTATAGATACTGCAATTTACGCCATTTTTCTGCTATACAGCGCTGCGCTAGTTTAAGGGACAATTGCGCGGTCATGCAATACGGTACATAAATGAAATTTACATCCTTTTTTTCCCCACAAATTGAGCTTTCTTTTGGTGGTATTTAATCGCCTGTGCGGTTTTTATTTTTTGCGCTATAAAAAAAAGGCTGACAATTTTGAGGAAAAAAAACAATATTTTGGACTTTTTGCTATAAAACATGTCCAGTAAAAAATCTAATTTAGTCATAAATTTCTGCCAAAATGCATTCTGCGACATGTCTTTGCTAAAAAAAAAAACTCAATACATGTAAATTAATTGGTTTAAGTGAAAGTTATAGCTTTTACAAATGGCGGGAAAGATACTGGGATTGTTATTTTTTTTTTTTATACTAATAATGGCGGCGATCAGCGACTTATGGCAGCGATCAGTGACTTATGGCGGCGATCAGCGACTTATGGCGGCGATCAGCGACTTATGGCGGCGGTCAGCGACTTATGGCGGCGGTCAGCGACTTATGGCAGAGATCAGCGACTTATGGCAGGACTGCAGCGGACATTCTGACATTTGGGGGGTACTGACTTGGGGTCACTGACATCCTCAGTGACACCAATACAGTGATCAGTGCAAAAAAAAAAAAAAACAACACTGACACTGTACTAATGGCAGTAAGGAGGAAGGGGTTAACTTTATTTTTCAGGGAAGGGTTATCTGTGTGAGGGGAGTGCTTTACTAGGGGGCGGGGGTGTGTGCTGGATGTGGACAGGCTGATCGGGAGAGAGAAACTCTTCTGTCCCAATCAGCTTGTCCTCGAGCTGTCAGGGAAGTGAGAGAAAGCACAGCTACTGCAGCTGTGCTCTCTGTCACTGATTGCCGCCGATCGCCGGGAGATAGCCAGTTAGGACTGGCTGTGACCCGGAGACTGACATCCGCGGCTGTGATCGGCGGGACAGGTAGGGCGGCGCGCCTCGCGCGCGCCCCCTACCTGTTTACAAAACACACGTTTTAAAACATGGTTTTGCCTGCCGGTGCCGCCCTGCCAACGTATTTATACAGTGGCTGGGCGGCATGTGGGTAATCCAGGTAGGGCAAATGGTGGGTTGGTGTGGGTGAGATGCAAAGCAATGGAGAGATAGAAAATCATTAAAAGGATAGCACTTAAGGAAGGGGGGGGACCCTTGGGGAAGGCAGGTAGGTAGGGAAGGGTAGGTAGGTAGGTAGGGAAGGGTGGGTATGGATAAGGTATATACAATATGTAGAAATGAATAGGTAAAAGAAGGAGGGGGTGGGTGAAGAGACAGGAAATATCAGGTAGGGTGCAGAGAAGACTGTAGGGTAGAGTAGAACATTGGGGTATTTATTGGGCAATGTGTTGTCGCCCCACTGTGAGGCCCAGGGCAGCCCAATCTTAGCAAGTCTCCCTTACCATTCTTGTAGACAGATGCATGTACAGGTACTTTTGTGTACGTATATCATGAACTGTAAAAAATAACCACCAATGAACAGAAACACACCCCATCTTAGGCCATATATTGATGTTGGGACAGTCACTCAAATGTTAAAGCAATATTTTTCCTAAAATGCCATAAAACACGTATTTCCCCACCAGGTGATACTTACTGCTCCGCACTGATGTATTCACTTTCTACGGGGACGCACATAACTTGCCCGACCCTCACACCGAAGCGGATGTCTTCAAACCTAAGTCCGAGGTTCTCACCGAGGATGGTGAGTCGGGTCCCTCCTTGCCTGGGGCCAGTTTCTGGAAAGAGCTGTAAGAAATATGGAGTGTACATGAACAATTGTCAAAGGCTTATTACAGGTGAATCCCACCTTATATAAAGGTATCATCTTTTATACACAGTAGCCAAAAATTCAGTATTATAGTATACATGTCATAATGGGTACAGATATTTCTCATGTTACTTCTTCTGTCTATCTGTACAACGTATTGAAAAAAGACCTAGTGGGCCCAGCCTAAAATCTAATTGTTAGAAGCACCTCTATGTTATCTGAGGTATCTCTGGAGGTCCCTGAAGTAGCCTGGGAAGTACAAAAGGGATGGAACTGCCACAAATCTGAGTTCAATAAAAGTGTAATTTTTTTGTCACAAGAGGTCAGAAAATTCCCCTTCTTCAGGGCTTAGTTGTTAAATGGTTAAGAGGACTCAAAATTGGCACATCAAGGGGATGAGTTATTATGTGAGCATTATAATTAATGATTGGTGAGTCGCTGTTAATGTCTGTGACACCCAGTGGCCAGAACATAGGAACATGCATGTCTAATAGGATGCCAGGCATGTGTTCTTTCAAAGCAGAGAACAGCTTCCTCACAGGGGAAAACTGCAGCATGGGCAGTAAGAGTAGCAACTGAACTGGCCAATTTTTGATCCAGCTTTAGCAGCCCATGTGTGGCAGTTTAGTAGTTTTTTTTTATTGTACTTGCAGGATTTTAACTCCTTCCCGGCATACCTTTAAAAAGATCTTGTCACTGGACAGCGGCAAGGATTGGCCGATCACTGACCATTGTGATTGGCTGCCACAGTGGTCATATGATCGGGAGCCGTCTGACTTTTAGAGTGTGTTCTGAACACACAAAGCTTTGCTGACTATGGACGTATATTATTATTACACAGGATTTATATGGCGCCGACAGTTTGCTCAGCGCTGTACATTATGGAGGGAGACAATACAGCAACAATACAGTTCAATACAAGAGGGATAGGAGGGCCCTGATCCTGGGAGCTTACAATCTAGGAGAATATGTGGGCAGGTGGGTGTTAAACCAGATATCGTATGTACTCTCCAGTGCCTCAGGATATGCACAGCCAAAAAGGAAGCCAAGGGTACCAGGACAGCGACAACCAAAGGAAATGCTTCAGGGGTGCAGCCCTCCTCAGACGGGAAATCAGCCACTGGATAGAGAGAAAACAGGTGTCGCACACACCTAGTGCATTATCCAAGGTTTATTGTAGGAGTGAAAGAATAATAAAAACATACTCACAGACGAAGCATGTATCTAAAAAGCATAGAAAAATGACAATGGACACAACGGCAGGCAAGGTGCTCTCACTGTCAGTGCGGTCAAATTTCTGACGCGTTTCAGGGAAGCCTGGCATCAACAGCAAGGCTCTTACTTTCCATTCATCATACATCAGCATCAGAGGTTGGTCATCAGCTCTGAGGAAAGGGATTCGTCCCCGAAACGCGTCAGCAATTTGGACCGCACTGACAGTGAGCACACCTTGCCCACCGTTGTGGCCATTGTCATTTTTCTATGCTTTTTAGATACATGCTTCATCTGTGAGTATGTTTTTATTATTCTTTCACTCCTACAATAAACCTTGGATAATGCACTAGGTGTGTGCGCGCCACCTGTTTTCTCTCTATCAGGTGGGTGTTAAAGCCCGCCCTCTGCCACCACACATTTCCGCTATCTGGGCGGTAAAAAATTAAATAGATAGAAAACTGAGAAATGTGCATTGAGATGTACTTATGTTTTTTTTTTTTTCTTATTTGTCCTGACATACCCTTTAAAATAAACTGAAAATGTATTTCCTCTTGAAAAGTACTTCTGCTAGCTTCACTCTAATGAAACCAACACTTGCTTAAAGATTTGCAATTAATGCGGTAAGTCTTTGCAGACATCACGAAAACAGACTTTGCTGCATTATTTTAGCGAAAATGCCCAGAGCAGCTTTATAAAACTTTTTAATCATTCTCCATGAGATCGCAACAAAACAGCCATTTCGACCCTTATAAGTGCCAACAAGTAAAACATAAGAAATCGGCCGGGGTAATCATTTCTGATCAGCAAACGCCAACAAAGGCAATAAAAATATATTTATTGAAAAAAAGTGGCAGTTCTGCTGCCTCCGCACGCTTGTGTGTATTAGCTGATCAAAGTTCTGTCCCGAACTCGGCGGCTATTCCCTCTTGGCGTGTTCATATCACACGGTAATGCGTCAGTGAAATATTCATGGGCCTGGTCCAGTTAAGGGCTTCTAAAGCAACGGCGGATTTTGCTTGGGTTCCCCGGCTTAACGACCGCGTTTCGCTTTGCTGTTCAAACTCGACGGGAATGTGTGTGGATTTACAAAGAGCCCCCTGCCTGCTTACATTAACGTACAAAACACAGCAGCCTGCGGTAAGAAAGCACACACAGCGGGAGCATTACAACTTCATAACTGTCTGCGCGGCTCTACAAAGGACGGCCGGCTGTAAGCACAACTAGCCGGTGCGCACCACTCCTGCCTGAGACGGCACGGCAATTTCAACTAGGAACCCAAATATGCTGTATATACAGTGGATATAAAAAGTCTACACACCCCTGTTAAAATGTCAGGTTTCTGTGATGTAAAAAAATTAGACAAAGATAAATCATTTCAGAACTTTTTTCACCTTTAACCTCCCTGGCGGTATTCCCGAGTGTAGCTCGGGGTAAAATTTCTATACCAAAAGCAGTAACCCCGAGCTACACTCGGGCTTACCATGCGGCGCTGCTCTGGGGGTCCCTGCAGCACTTACCTTGTCCTTCGCTCCCACAATGTGTCCCCTGCAGCGTCCCCAGCCATCTCCTCCGGCCAATGCCGGCATCCGGCTTCTGTGTTCCGGTCCCTGTGACGTCGGGACGTACGGGCACCAGAACCGGCGGGAAATTTGAATTTTTTTAAAAATATCATTTTTGCTGTCATTGCCGTTTCAACCCATTTCACATACATTTTGTCCCGAGTGCTTTGTCCGGCGCCCTGCCTGCATTTTTACTGTTCTTTCTGCCTGGAAATTTAGAAAAGTCCATGGCGTCCAAAAAGCGTCCCTTTAGGTCAAAAGCGGGTTTAGACCGGCTAGAGAACAGCGATAGTAAATCAGAACCACTTGCAGAATTGAGTGATAATGATTCGTGGGGGAAATTCGTCATCAGACACTGAAAATGATTTTGCGACTTTGCTCAGCGAATTTGCCTCTGTATTTCAAATTTCAGTGTTTTTGGTTTGATTATATTATTGAATTAAATGTATTATTATTATATTATTATTTTTTATGATTATTTATTAAATTATAATTTATGATTTCGTGTTTCAAATTTTATCATACCCGGGATGTTTACTAGATTCTTGTTCAGACAGATTTCAGTGAGTTATTCCTAAAAATTACAGCCTACAATAAAAAACTACATATTTACATGCAAAAAAATGTACCGCTTTCAGCACAAAAAAATCGGAAAGAATCATACCGCCGGGGAGGTTAATGTGACCTATAAACTGTACAACTCAATTGAAAAACAAACTGAAATCTTTTAGGGTGTGAGTCTATCAGCATGGCACATCTGGACTTGGCAATATTTGGTTCACTGGGAGGATCAAGAGGTCATAAAATGATGTTACAGGAGGGACCCAAAAAGGGAAGACTGCGGAGTTAATACTACACAGGATGCACCACATATGTCATTTTTAATCTTGACAGAATTTTGCTTTAATTTGCATGGCAAAGACTTTGCAAACAGATAGGGGTTTGATTGCTAAAACTGGAGATTGCGAAATCTGGTGCAGCTGTGCATGGTGGCCAATCAGCTTCTAACTTCCATTTGTTCAGTTCAAATGTTACTAAATTCCGGACCCTGCATTCACTATGTCTGGTCTCCCGGGACCCTGCATTCACTATGTCTGGTCTCCCGGACCCTGCATTCACTATGTCTGGTCTCCCCGGACCCTGCATTCACTATATCTGGTCTCCCCGGACCCTGCATTCACTATATCTGGTCTCCCCGGACCCTGCATTCACTATATCCGGTCTCCCCGGACCCCGCATTCACGATATCCGGTCTCCCCGGACCCCGCATTCACGATATCCGGTCTCCTCGGACCCCGCATTCACGATAACCGGTCTCCTCGGACCCTGCATTCACGATATCCGCTCTCCCGGACCCTGCATTCACGATATCCGGTCTCCCCGGACCCCCCGCATTCACTATATCCGGTCTCCCCGGACCCCGCATTCACTATATCCGGTCTCCCCGGACCCCGCATTCACTATATCCGGTCTCCCCGGACCCCCGCATTCACTATATCCGGTCTCCCCGGACCCCGCATTCACTATATCCGGTCTCCCCGGACCCCGCATTCACTATGTCCGGTCTCCCCGGACCCCGCATCCACTATGTCCGGTCTCCCCGGACCCCGCATCCACTATGTCCGGTCTCCCCCGGACCCCGCATTCACGATATCCGGTCTCCCCGAACCCCGCATTCACTATATCCGGTCTCCCCGAACCCTGCATTCACTATATCCGGTCTCCTCGGACTCTGCATTCACGATAACCGGTCTCCTCGGACCCCGCATTCACTATATCCGGTCTCCCCGGACCCCGCATTCACTATATCCGGTCTCCCCGGACCCCGCATTCACTATATCCGGTCTCCCCGGACCCCGCATTCACTATATCCGGTCTCCCCGGACCCCGCATTCACTATATCCGGTCTCCCCGGACCCCGCATTCACTATATCCGGTCTCCCCGGACCCCGCATTCACTATATCCGGTCTCCCCGGACCCCGCATTCACTATATCCGGTCTCCCCGGACCCCGCATTCACTATATCCGGTCTCCCCGAACCCCGCATTCACTATATCCGGTCTCCCCGAACCCCGCATTCACTATATCCGGTCTCCCCCGGACCCCGCATTCACTATATCCGGTCTCCCCGGACCCCGCATTCACTATATCCGGTCTCCCCGGACCCCGCATCCACTATATCCGGTCTCCCCTGGAACCCGCA